GTTCGGAACGAATATTAATATTATACACATTTTACTGCCTGCGATATTGTTATATTTCGATATAGTTTCAATGTTTTTATTGAAATGTCACGTAAGTTCTTTTGTGCTATTGAAACAATAGCTCATGAGAATTGTATTACGAATATAATAAGCTTGTATATAACCACGACTAAAGCCCGACCTAAAAATCGCCTATTATTTTATACTATATATAACATTCGTACAGTGGCAAAAATTCTTCATTCGCGAGTCTCCGTTATGCGTTCTAATCGCAGCTCACACGACCTGCTGCTCGTTTATTTATCTACGCAATTGGGATGGTAAAATTGTACTCGCGAAAGCCAGCGTCGTCTCGCGCGTGCACTTATTATATTGCACAATAATAATTAAACAAAAATAAAAAAATAAAAAAAAGACAAAAGGACAATACGCCATATAATTTCTCTTTTTTTTTCGTCATAATCACCGCGCGCGCACGCGTGTCAGGTCAAATTTTCAAGTTGTTAGCGCGCGCGGCGCGTAAGCCGCAGCACAGCTCCTGCACCTGCACCTGCACGCCTCCTCGCGCGCGCGCGCGCGGTGTACATAATACACTCAGGATTTTTTTCTTTATCGGGCAGATTTCATCGGTGAAATTTATAATGCCGCCGCCGCTGCCGTCCTATATAGCACGCGAAGGGAGCAATAAAGACGTACTGCTATAATAGCGCGAGGGGCCTCCGCGCGCGAGTGCGAAGAGGAGTGAGGGAAAAGACAATGGCGCTCGAGAGCTGCATTGTAATTCGCTATCACGCAGACATCTTTACGATGCAATTGCAGCGATTTAAAATTGCCGCGGCGTGTTTTCGCGCGTATTAAAAAATATTTTCAAACGAAAATAAAAAATAAAAAAGCAGTACTCACTGGCCGATTTTATTTATTTATTTATTTATTTTTGTCGAGTATATAATCCATCGAGTGTACGAAATGCTAATTATCGTCGTGCGTCCATGCGGGAAATATAATATAAACGCCAAAAAATACTCGAAACACGCATGTATCGAAGCTCTTACTGGCAATGCTCTGTGTGTATATAATATAAATATAATACCGTGTGCGCGCGGAACATCTGCTCGGCAGCGGCTGGCAGGCTCAGTTTTTTCGAAATGCAAAATACATAATTGTGCACATCGACGTTGTATATTTCAATAGCGATGCGTATTGAATATAAGCGATTTCATCCGTTTGCATATTATAATAATAAATATAGATAAATTTTCGGAGCTCAGCTCACAGGCGCTTCTTTTCAAAAGTCAAAGCTGTATATGTACACATTTTTTTCATTTTTATTGACTTTTAAAGATCTCTCGCTGCTGCTGCAGAGGAGGCAATCATTCGCATTCTTTCAAGTACGCGCGCACACAGTCTGGATAATTTGCATATAATAATCATAATAGGATAAAAAATGCACCGGTGTGCGCAGAGCTCGAGTATTTGGGACTACACATGCATAGCAGCTCATTCATATTGCAGCAAACATTTGTTCGGCAGATTGATAAGAGCATGCCACGCAGTCAGTGTATCGATTGCTCCCGTGTGTGCTCTGTCTTTCTCTCTCACTCACTTTCTCGCGAAAAAAAAGTCCATAAAGTACGTCCCACCCCTCTGGGGCCTGTCTCTCTCTCTCTCTCTCTCCCTCTCGTACATATAAGGTACTAAATAATGTGTATACACATGTATAGCAAAACATTCTCGCGCATTCAACGTTGCAGCTCCGATGCGTATGTGTGTGTGTGTGTGTGTATACGTGTGTGGTTGCAGAGAGCGAGAGAGCCTACATGTATGAGCGCGAATGCGAGCTACACACGTATACATACACACGAGCACAAGACGGGAAATAGCCAGCAATTTGCAGCTTTACGAGTTATTCCACAATGGCTCCAAAGTATACGGTGGCTACGAAGCGAGTGAGTGAGAGAGAGAGAGAGAATATGTGTGTAGATAATTCGACCCCTGAGCGAGTACGTAGCTACATAAAATATATCTCGCTTCAATTTCATTCTTTTTCTTGCTCTCACCCCTCCGTCTGTCTCTCTCTCTCTCTCTTACTCGGCAATCTTCATGTATAATATAAGAACTGGCCGCGATTAACTTTGTTTTTCGCCTTTATCCGCCTTTCGAGAGCGCGAGAGAGAGAGACGCTTTTAAATATGAAATAATCCTTTCGCTCCGTTTTGCTCCTTTTACCTCCGTTTCATCAGTTCTCATTTCATTATGAGTAATTCGTCTCTTTCACGAGAATGCACGTAATAACGTTGAACGCGCCAATAAAAATGTTTATCGTCAAACAATAATGGAAATTCGAAAGCACCCGCACGTGGACGAGCCACGAGCAGTATAGAAGAGGACGAATCGAATAAGCCTCCGAGAGAAGCAAAAAAAGTAATGGTAACAGGTTGAATGCCAGCAGCGAAATACGTATAAAGCTGCGCTCGATCGTTTATATATTATAGGTATATATACGCGGGGATATTAAAAGCGAACATTTAGTTTGCGGAATACACCGCGAGCCCAGTTTGCACGAGTGTGTGTGTGTGTGTGTATAAAGTATATAACAACATTCAGAAGAGGTATCGCAACCGTAGCACCGGCAGCTAGCAGAAAAAACAAAAAAGGAGCAAACCTATTTCAAGTTAGCCGTAAAACTGTCGGAATTCGTGTTAGCAGCTTGTCTAGACGCGCGAAACGAGTGAGAGAGTAGGAACGTGAGGAGAGGATAATACGAGAGAGCCTCGCGGGTAATGCAAGGACGCGCCGCTCTTGCCACTGCTGACGAGAGTAGCCATTTTGGTAGCGACACAGCATATAGTACTATCGGTTGTCTTGGTAACGGATATCGATCCTTCCGCGATGTACCGAGTGGGGGATGACGATGAAAACATAATGTCGAGTTGGCGCGCGCGCAAGCAAGCCGCATCGCGCGGCGGACACCTAAATTAAACGTACATTTTGCAGCGGCGGCGGTGCATTATTACAGCCTGTACATGCACTTAGGACACAGGCCGCCAATACGTGCACATCATGTACGCCCACGCCCGCGATATAATGCGAGGAATGATGGATGCGATATGTACGCCGAGCGCATGCATAAAGGTATACATACATACTTTAATACTCTTCGCATCGGCGCAGAGAGAAACCTTGGGCTGAAAGAGCTCGTGTACTTATGGGTGGAGTTTTTCATTATGATTCAAAGTACTCTCTCTCTCTCTCTCTCTCTCTCCTTCTCGCGGATCGGCGATTCGTTTATTTTGCAGCGATATTATTCGCTCGACCGAGCTGCATATAATGGCTGCAGCAAGCGGCACATTTTTCCACGTTTGCGCGGCGTTACTTTATTATTATTATTTTTTTTTATTTAGCTCAGACGCGACCCTATACTATATACCTGTGTCGATAGGTCAACCTGCTTTGTCGGACAGACAGAGAGAGAGAGAGAGAGATCGATTTAACAATATACTTTCGCAATGATACGCGAGGAGGAGACGCGCGTACTATTAGTCAAACACTCACATTGCGGCGCATAATAATAATGTATAAAAAGCCCCATTGTATTTACCTTTTCTCATATATTTATTCAATCGTCCATACACACGACCAGAGTTAAGCGATATATTCTTCCAAGGAATCGTCGCGTTTACAGTATACGGCGGTCAACTTTTGCCGAGATAAAAGATTTTTGTAAGACAGGTTCCGATCTACATATACCTGTTGTATTACACTTCTAGTATCGGGAAATGAGAGGTAAACGATCGACAACTGTGCGGACAATTATCACTTTCATACCTGGAACGGATGTAGCGCATAACGGGTGGTGATTAGGAATACGGCCAATGAATTTATAATACCTGCGCGCGCTAAGTTGCCGCGATTCGAGGGAGAGGAAGAAAGGAAAAAGAAAAGAGTAAGAGAGAGAGAGAGAGATGAGAGGAGTGCGCGGTAATGATCATTTCACTCTTGGCGATCTGCGCATATAAAAGGGAACAATCTAAATGTTAATATGCTCAACCACACCCCCTTCCCCCAGTTCGCTTTGCGTATAGTCTCCTTTTTGCGCGCGCGTTGCATCTCTCGGCATATAATATGCGCGCGTTATAAGAATATAAAAAAAAGGGCCGCGCGCGGTGCGAAGCACAAACACTGCACGCGGTGCGGTGCGCTGTACGCGCGAGGAAAAACGTTAACGAGGCTGAAGAAGAGGCTCGAAGCCTCTGCCGACGCCGCCGCCGCCGCGACTAAAAATCGCTTTTGGCGCTATATACATAATGCAAGGAGAGCCGATATAATTATCTCGTGCCGGGCGTCGAGGCCCCCATAGCGCCTTTGTGTAATTAGCTTCTGACCCCCTTTTGCGCATCAATTACATTACGCATACACACACACACGCGCGCGCGCGGAGGTGCGAGCGCCGACGCCACGAACTCGAGAAGTCCTTTTCAGAGCTTTTTTTTTTATTTTTCAAGTTTTGTTGCTGCTTGTTGTTACTTTTATAAAGCGTTCGACTGCAAGTATTATAATGTACACCGTCAGTCCGCGAGATAAAGGTTTTCAAACGTAAATTGAATCGATGTCAATATCATGCTCATTCTAATCTATAAGTGCAAGTACATCGAAATAAAAAATACGCGGAGCTCTCATACAGCTAACGATAGATACATGTGGCAGCTATATTCAAGTTCTCAATCTGGGTCACCAATTTCAGGAGATGGAATAATTTTATTAGTAGAAATTATTTCATTGCAATTCAAAAGAATAAATTCTTTTAGTGGTTCTTATATTAACTAAGAGCAAGCAAATGAAAAAACAATTAACGTAGAACTTGAATTTAGCCACCACACATGCATACTGCAAGTAGTACAAATGTATATGCTACGTTGCGAGCATGCGCGAGCTAGGCGTTCAGAAGCGCGGCGTGAACAAAAAAAAAGAGTCAGAAATGGCCATTAACAACGTTTACTTGCCTCACGAACCTGTTTGAACTGCTCCTCGAAGCTCCAGCTGGTCTGTTGATTCTGTTGCTGCTGTTGTTGCTGCTGCTGCTGCTGCTGCGGAGTCTGCAACTTGTCGTGGCCCGGATGGCCCGGTTCGAGGCGCTTGTGGCTCTCCATCAGAGCATTGCTGCCGCGTCCGCTGCCCTGCGACGATTCGCTCGAGTGCGAGCACGTGGGCGATCTCACCAGTGGATTGTTGACCATCGAGTTGTTGTTGCTGCTGCTGTTGTTGTTATTGTTGTTGTTGTTCGACATGCCGCTGTTGTTGTTGTCGTGCAGGGGAGCCACCGCCGCGGGGGTGCAACCGGCACCGAGGCTCGAGCCGATCAGGGCGTTCACCGAGTGCTGCGAATTGTTCGATTGGGCGTTGTTGGTGAGGTAGCGTGGCGGATTGGTGAACGAGAAGGGCAGATCGAATCCACCGCCGCCAGCCGCCGCCGACATTGCCGCTTGAAGCACCTCCAGCTCGCTTTTGTTGTTTATCAGATTCATCTCGTTCTGTGGATAGGGGTGCGCAATAATGGTGGATGAGTCATTTATATATTAGACATCGATCGTTGGGGTGTGAGCTTTTTTTTTTTGCTTACCTCGAGTTTGATTTTCGCTAAAAAGTGTGGTTGCGTCGAATTCATAAGACTACTTAGATGAGCTAGTGGCGTGGGCGCGGGCGTATTTTCGGCCGAAGAATGATCTTTCGACTGGGTCGGCTGCTGCGGCAATTCCTCGCCGCTTTCCTCGTCTTGACGATCTGGATCCGACAGTTCCTCATCCTGGTGGGACTGTAACAAAAAAGCCGGATCATTACATTGTCGTATCTATTTTATATACGCATAAGTGTAAACTGATAAATACGAGGAATGACTAATTTTACAAAAAAAATTAAAAGGAGTATCATTTTCACTATAGCGACAATATGTACGAAATCGCGAGGGGAAACTTTCATTTCCGTGTATGAAGAAATGCAATCGATGAGAGAGAGATTTCTTTCGTTATCACTGCCACTTGTGATAGATATAGTTACGTTCGGTGAACAAAAATCGGTACATTAATAACTCGAGGGCAAACACAATGTAACATTATACATACATCCTGTGTGTCTCTGAGCAAGAAAAAGGAAATCCATCGCGACGCCAAAACAAACAAATCTCAAAAAGAGCTGCTCGCATTAGAATATAAAGAAAAAACATTTTTCACATCGTGCGAGTGTATACGCACAAAAGGTCGTACAGTCATAATTTGCGCAATAGTCATCGAAATCGTAATTTTAATGTTCGTAAAAATTTTTTCTTCAGTCACTGTGTATAAGCGAAAGCAACGGCAATTTTATTTTTCTTTCTCTCTCTCTCTCTTCTGCGTTTTTTTTATAAATAATACAAACGCACACGGAAATGAACAAGAAGAAGAGAGAGAGACAGACAGACATTACGCGGTGTAACGTGTCGATTCTCGCGCTTCTTCGCGAAAATCGTGTGCACCGAATCGCGCGATAAGTATCGCAGGATATAAAGCAAAGTTAATACGCTTGAGAAAAGATCGTGTGTGTGGATATCTATAAATGTGCAGTACGTATATATACGCACGCTGCTCATATGTATTTTCATTAAGTCGGGGGCCCGGTTAAGACCTCGCGTATAGAGTTTCTATTGATTCACCCGTCAATTATGTCATAAGTGTACGAAAATACGAGCTTTCATATTTCCATTTTCAAGTCGATGTGTTTTTCTTTTTGATTAAAATTTTTTATAAAAGTCGGTAGATTCGAGTGGCTGAATGTGTCAAGTCGGAGGAGAGAGAAAGTTACGATAATTTGACGAGTGAATTGCTTCATTACAAATATTGACACGTTGATTTGAAATCGCGCGGATGCGCTCGTTAATTGACACATATTGAGGATAGTCTAATGAATCAAAGCCTATTTTTCTAGTCCTAATAAGATACATTCAATCAAACACATTCATCATCGTTTTTTCTTTCTATAAACACTTTGAATTTTTTTAATGTCACCTACTTCCTATTTTTTTCAAATTAGGGTTTCGAGAGGGTTTGAATGAAAATACATCCTATCGTAATCATGATTGTATATTTCATCTTCAGTCACGTATGGTCTCTTACGAAAACAATAGCAAGTACACCCCGTATATAGCTGCAGTGTATTATTACATATTCTTATATACGACGACAATGGCAGCAAAGTTTATTTGCACTAATTTCAGGAAGTCGGTCTGCGTGCACCTTATCATTACCCAAACTCACTGTGAAGGTGTGTAAAAAAAAACCGAAAAAATACGACTTTAGCGCCACACGCAAGTAAAGTTTATAGTCTACAATGATGCGGCTCGTTTCCATGTGACAACGTGACTCTATATTATATTCGTAGGCGTTTGGCGTGGCTCACAGAAATAAAGAGGTAATGATGTGCTTTAATGACTGGAGATGTGTCTCTATGTACGAAGTGTGGACACGATTGCCTCTATATTGCTTATGGCCTTATTTAAACAGAGATCAATACAGTTTTTACCGCGCGTGTCCTCTCGACGAGTGTGTGTTGACGAAAAAAGAAGATGAAAAAATGTGAAAGTCATTGTTATAAAATAGATATTCAAACTGGCTTACTGGAGTACTTTGATTTTCAATCATATAAACATAATGATTATGAAAAGAAATAATATGATTTTAATTTCGATTCGGTATCTTTTATACCTTCAATTTGTCAGCTATTTTTTCATTGACTTTCATTATCACAGCGATGGATAAATATTTTCAAATGAATGCGACCATCTAGAGAGCTTGGGCACTTTTTTCCCATCGGCCAAAATGTCCCACTTGCGCGCGTGTTTTTTTTTTCTTTTTTTCCAATCTGTGCACCGATAGGATCACGCGCGCGCGCGCTTCGGGTCTCCGTGTACCCACGATTAATTAACTCAGCAAATGAAAAATTACATCCAATTAATCTCGTATTATAGGCATTGTAAATTCGATTAAATCAACGACGCACACGCTCGCACACGCACAACTCGCTCGCTCGCAGATCAGCACAATTATAATGCCTATCATTTCTCATGCTAATGTTTGTTATACAAATACCGAACGTCGCGCGCGCGCGTGAGCGATCTATATAAATAATAATGCCAATCTCGACTGGCTCTCTTGATTTCGTCGAATATGGGTCTCGATCTAATCGCCTCTCGTCCTACATTATTCCTCGTACGAAATAAAACTATTGTTCGCGCGCAGAGGCGCGTTTTAGAAAACGTAGATCGGCACATGCACGAGAAAAAAGAGCAGCAGCAGCACAATGTCCATAATATACGCTTAATTCTCTTCTCACCGAATTGATCATCTTTGATTTCTACATTGACATTATAATACATTAAGAGCGACGTGCGATCGTGTTCGGACGTCCTGGATCCGCGTGTATAGGTGTACGTTTGTACGCGCGTGGGTGTTCGGAATTCACTGGAAGGTATCATCTCTGATGAATCGTCTTACCTTCGGTCTTTTTTTTCTTCATTTTTTAAACGTCTATAGTGGACGTAAGAAAAAATCGAAGAAACATCATTCTCAGGGGCGCTGTGATTTTTTACGAATATATAAAAATTGTCCACTCTTACACAGATCGATCGCGAGATCCGAGATTTCATTCCGAGCGCGCGGAACTTAATGAAGGCAGCTCTCGCACAATGGGAAGTATTTCCTTTATTCTTCGAAGACGCTCGATCGAAAAGACGCCGGGAAAATTAATTTTCGGGCATCGAGCCATACAGAGCGATGTGTTTGATGGAATGCAATCAATCGAAATCACTCGTGTCGATGTGTGGAATACTCCCCCCTACACATATTTTACAGGTAGGAGCAGATCAGCGCACCGCGCGAAGAGGAGCGCTTCAGCGCCACACACATCACATGCACATATACCATGCAGGCACGTCTCGAAAACCGGTTTTTATTTCGCGCGCTCGTATATGAAGATGTCTTAACGAGATTTGATGTATTAGTCACGACAATCTGGCTAAATTTATACTCGTCTGGTATAACATACAATACGATCGCGCGCGAAAGTTTATATTGTACATACGTGCATGATGCGTGTGTTCGCTTGAATTTACTGCTCGGCGCATTATTTCCAGCCTTTTTATTGTTTTATACACTTTGTGTTGTTTATAATGCTCCGCATTTACTAAGCGAAGTCAATAAGTTTCAAATTTATGATGTCGAATTTGCTTATCTTGTTAAATACATTAAATGATTTCGAGTGCGAAATTGCGTTAATCGCCGCTGCTGCTCGAGCTATACTCGCACATATATAATAATAATAATCTACCAACAACGACGACGACTACGAGAGAAGGTGAGAATTTTGCGCCTCACAAATCACGGCGCGTAGCCGCCACTGCCTCTCATAGTCGATATGCTACTTTGCTTACAAGCTGCTCTACCGCTACTGTGGTGACTTTCATCGCGCAATATATACGCGCGCCTCAGCAGCGGTATTTCGTGTCAAAGTGCCGAGTGAATGGATGGGCTCTCTGCACGAGCGAGAGTAGAGTCACACAGCCACGGCACAGCACAGTTCGCACAGTGCGTGCATCAGCTTATCCTCTACACACGGACACAGTGAGGGGTCTATAATAGAGCCACTGTTGCGCGATGCGTGTGCTGCCGCCGTTTTTACAATGTATTTATAGTGTAAGCCGAGTGAGCGATGCGAATTTAATGATTGTTTTAGAGGAATGTCCAGGCGAGCTTTGCTATTACTTTTTTCTTTTCTCTTTTTTTTCCAAAAAATCGACAACAAGATCGTTCAGTAGAATCTTACATTTATTTTTATCAACGAGTCGTAAAATGTAATACAAAGCCCAAGAGGAGGTTACGATATATTTCATACATACATTTCGTCCGATATTCGATTGCGTGAAAAAGTCGTAAATTATAAAATTGCAATGTATGTATGTTTCTATGTGTGTATACGTATCGTTTTTAGAACTCGCTATCTTAATGCATAGTCTCTCGTCGTCGTCGTCGTCGCGCGTCCATGTGTACGTGCATAAATGCGCTCCATTATAACGCGATATTTGTCCTAGATACCGAATACTACTCGGTGTGCCGAGAGAGCGCATTTATAACCAGTTTATAAAATAACTTTGTTATTTCAAGGCTGCACGGGCCGCCGCGTGCAGCAGCAGCTCTCGATTATTATTGCCTTTTTATGAAATAATGAAAGGCAATTAATTCCCCGCGCGCGACTCGTAAAAGGCGAATATTTTTCGGATATAAACGTTTGCGCGCGAGCGAGCGCCGCATTTATACCGAAGGCACATAAATGTTTTTCTTCGCGCAACCGAGTGCATGTACACAACAATACGCGCCGCGTTTGCTGTATGTATACAGAGAGAGAAAGAGAGACATGCGCGCAAGGTGGCGAAAAGTGTAAATGTAATTCCTTTCCTCTCTCTCTCTGCTCGGCTCTCGAGTACTATTGGTATGCAGGACCTGTAGCGAGCAATATATAAAACTCGTGTACTCGTTGCATCGAGTTTACGTAAACGCGGTGCAGCGCGCGCAATAATATTTATTCATTCGAGGCAGTGCGATGCAGCAGCAGCAGCAACAGCGGACAATGTGTCAAAATGAGACAAAAATCGAAGGCGCGATGCGCAACAACGGCTCGTACATACATACTATTGTAATACAATAATATCTTATTGAAAAAGGCATGAGCGTCGAACGTCGAAGGACTCCATTAAGAATTAGCATAATAGCTGCTGCTGTGTGTACGCGCGAGTCCTTTCGTCAATTGATTTCGTGAAATTTTCTTTTTTTTTTTTTTTTGGCGCGCTTATGTACTTAATAAATATTTATCTTTTTACACGAAAAAAATAAAAAGGCTTACAACAGAGAAACAGTACTTGCACACGCAGTCGTACATATTATACACATACACCAGAGCCTTTGTATATGATCGGCACGGCATAAATACACACAGGCGAGGAAATACGTCGAAACATAAATTATCAAAGCAGCGAGAAATATGATTAATAACGTCTTGATTAAGAAATTTTATACGTACGTACAGGTGTACCTATCTTCGCACGGCAAATAAGAGCTTAAAAGTTTTCATACGCATATTTTACAAGTTGACGTAAATGAGAAAAGAAAACGTATATTAGCTCGCCGGTGTGCACTTGCACATACTCACATCTATCTACATGGTCGCTGCAGTCAGCGGCAGCAGCATATCTTCTGCCTATACGAAGTATAGTGCGTGTCGCGTTATACGTCTTATGCGAGGAAATATTGAGAACGCAACGAGTAAGAAAAAGGGGTATATTAATATCGCTTTGGAGCGCTCGGGTTAAACAAGCAGATGTCATATGTGTCTGTGTGTGTGTGTGTATATGCTATTGCACGAAGACACTCGCACTGCTCGACTCGGCTCTCGCGCGCGCAAATCAATATTGTGCATATTTTGTTTTATTTCCTAAGGCTTCGCCTTATAAGACACACACATAAGTAATCGTATACTGTCGGCTGCGGCGCGCGGTTGAATGATGAGAGAGGCAGAGCGAACGAGTGAAGCCTGAGCTGCCTTTTTGCATTCGCAATACGACAATATTATGCAGGCGCGCGCTAAGATTTCGTCGCGTATCGATCGAAGAGAGCACTACTCTAGGCTCGAAAGAGCGAACGAAAAAAAAATCAGACGATACACGAGAGTCCGAAGGGGTTATTACTCAATGTGCAAACAGAGACGGAGCAAGGGAGAGAAAAATATTACGACGTCGTCGTCGTTGGCTAATTAATCGCTGCAATGACAATAATCCACCCACTACACAAAAGCAGAGAAAGAGAGAGATGCGCTTTGCTACATGTGCAAACAGCTGCCAGCCCATAATGTGTATCGATCACTTTCGATCGATAGGCATCGATACATTCATCCGAAAGTGCCGACTTAATAAATCGTGCTGGGTCGCTGCGGCGGCGCTCGACGCTATCTCGACGAGCAAAACAAACAATATAATGATAAAATACATCGCCTGATACAGAGATCGACACGACGACGACGACGACGAACTCGAGGCTCGCATGCACAGCTTGTATTATATGTATATTATGTATATGTAGTTCCGGATACAGGAGGTAAGTCTCTCTCTCCTCTGCGGGGCATGTGTCCCACGTGCGTGTGCAGTTGCGTGGTGGCCGTCTCCCACTGAACTTTGATTTTGTACTTGCACAAAGTATAACATCGAACGACGACGACGACGTGAAAGATGAAGACGAAGAAAATGCCGTGATTTATCTTGTACAGAGCTTTTTTTACGAGCTTACGTTTATTTTCTGTCTCTGTATTAATTTGAAAATATTCAATCGAGACTTTCCAACCGATTTAGATGCGAAGCCGAGATTGCGCGATAATAATATCGATATAATATACATAGAATCGCGACGATCCCATTTGTAACGAAATGCACGTGTATATAATATACCATAAGCTGATTTATGCGAAGGACTCGAGCGACTTGGCAGATATAAATTTATTACTGCGAGCCAACGGAGGGTGGAGAGAAGAGCCGAGCCGAGCCGATTATTATCTAGACGATTGCAAAGAGTCTATAAATGCCGTTGATGCTGCTGCTGGCACTGCCTCGACCGCACAATGAGACGCGCGTATTATCCACTCGGTTTATGCACTCGAATTTTTCGCAAATATATATTAAAGATATATAAAAATATACCGCAGCGTCAGCAGCAGC